CGCTTTATTTTTCATTACGCAATTTATCAAATAGCATTGAGCGATCGATCGACTCGTAAGAATTTTCCTGTAATCTTTCTGTTTTAAGTTGATTGTTGATTATCTTATAATCACTTTTGATTATAAGTGGTTTTTATATTAACAACAACACAAAGCAAATTCTGAAAATTCGTTTGCACACCAAGTGTTTGATAAATTACATAATTTAATATTTTTGCTCATTACCATTGAAAAGTACATTGCTAAGTAATTAGTTTAAACGAGTAATAACGTGATACTCGATTAAAGGTTGAATTCGATTATTGTGTTTCTCATTCCATAATTGGCTTTGCATATCCGAGTTCCAATAAGTAGGTTCGTGTTATTAGTTTGTTAGGGTTTATCTTATTTTTAAGTTATGAAAGATATATCTATATATAAAGGTATGTCATGTGTCATTATCAAACCATAAGAATACAACATATTTTTCAACTTAACTTTCTATTAAAATTTATGAAATTTTTATAAAAAATTAGGTTTAGGGGCTATGAACAACAACACTAACCCCATTTTCCATTTCCTTGATATTTTTTCGCTTGGGTTTTCTCAATTGCAGGAAATTCAGAGCAAGTACTCAAGAGTCTGCTTTGAAGGTGAAGGTTGTTAATGTTAAAAGAGAAGAGTTCAAGTTATGGAATCTGGTCTATCAGGTGTTTTAACTTTGCTTGTTAATGTTTCTTAGGCTTTTTACTTTGTATATCTTTGATTCCACTTTCTGACGATTCCAAATTAATTGCATATGTATATAGTTGACTTTGACACGCTTAGATCATTTTTTAAAATTGCGGATGTGGTTGGGGTTGGAAGTGTTGCGATTGCAGCCATTACGTTTGTTGCGATGCGCATTGTAACGTGAATTTTAACTGTGACGTGTTTGAAATACACACTTAAAAACCACTTGATGTTAATTTTTTTCATTACATAAGAAGTAAATTGAGTATTGAAATTCTAAACCTTTGAATTTTTATGAAAATGCTTAAAGTAATATGGACCAAATTGTCTGATGCTGTTTCTAATGACAATCATACACATGATTTTAATTCATATTAAAATTGCGGATCTATGCAATTGCGGAAACTACCACATTAACAATATTTGTATTCAATAGCATCTTGTGGAAAAATAATAATTTATCCAAATTCCATTATGCTATAGTGGTTATTTAACCCTATTGTCTTTATGTACTTTTGTTATTGAAAAATAAAACTTATCTTTTTTAGTTGAAATTGATCTTTAGGTAAATGAAATGCTGCATCATAAGGCAAACTTGAATGGGTATCTCTCCTATCAAATAGGCCAAAGTTTAGATAAGATCAACCAGTATACTGACCATGACTTTTATAATTTTATTTCCCTACACCCACTTCACAAAAAGGGGTGAACTATTCGTCTTTTACATGAACAAAATTGCATTGATAATTATTAATCAAAGATGCAAATATCAATATTGTTTCTATTATAATTTGACAAAAAGAAAGTAAAGTACGAGATGTCAATTGTAAAGATTCAAAGAGATTTATGTCGTATGCAAATTGATTCATTAAAAAACGATTGAAAAATGCATGGAATCAGATAGACACATTTTTTGCTTCGTTGCTTTAGTTGATGAGAAAAAGAAATTAGGTTGTAAACCAATTCACATTGTACTCGATTTATTGCTTTTGAGCTTCATTGAATCTAATTTTATTTTTTTCACGAATGGGTTAGACTTTTTCAAATGGTACACCCTGGTTCTAGATAAATAAAAGAAAACCAATTTTTTAGGGAATTTTTTAATACATCCTATATTTTACTAGTACGCCATTTGAAAATATAAAAATGTTTTAGATTTGGAAGATTCATCTTCGGACGCATCCAATACACGTACAACCTAGGTCATTTTCCGTGACGTCCTAGAAGTTAAGTTTTTTTAACCCGGAGATGCATCTCCGAGATCGGTCTGTAGATACCTTTTCGTAATATATGCACAACACTATCAGATGCAAAAACCAAAAAATTTGTATTTTGACAAAATAAAAGTATCATTCATAACATAAAATCAGGATTATATAGATGATTTCAACATAAAATGACTTCAATATCCAGGTGGGCGCTTCAACATCTTCACAATATCTTTGACCAATTTTTAAATCTTCGCTGCCAACTCGAGCAGAACTTTTGTTTTAAAACAGAAAAATGTATTCCACACAGGCCTTACATTTGCATCTGTTTTGAGCTCAAAGTTGTTGAACTCGACCTTTCCTCCGTTGTCAATCGACGGTGAATGGTACTCAATATTAACAATTTTTCAATTGTCTCCGTAAGGTAGAAGATTATAGACTTGATGTTTTAGATATGCAAAATAGGTGTACTCGTTGAGCTTAAACTTTCGCTCGGGTGTCACGCTTGAGAAGAAGAGATTTGCGACATACTAGGTGATGTTTATTTGTGACATTTGAGACATTTTATGTTTGTGTGAAATAAAAAAACTAGAACCCCTAAATGTATATAAGTAGTAGACAAATTTGGACCACAAAAAATCTATAAAGCATTAGTGTTGGTTTCATAGATACATCTCCAGAACCTCTCCTGAACCAGGCATAATGAAACAGGCAGAAGATAAAACCTAATTGATGACTTTGTTTGAAAAATGAACAAATGTTTTGGCAAAGATAAAAAATGTATTAAAATTTTAAAAAATTATATATATTACATTTCATTAATATTGAGACACAATTACATACACTTATTTGTACGACTAAACAGAAAATTAAAACGAATCAAAAGATTTGTCGTCGGCTAAATATATGTATGGTACCCCCTTTTAATTTTGTGCATTTGATTTTCTTCAATGTTGCTCAATTTCTAGAACTCTTACATCCTTTCCACAAAATGGTTAGGCCAAGTCTCGACTTTTGTTATTAAATGAGTTTCTCACTTAAGTGATGTAAGTGGTATAGGGCATTCCAATTTCAAGTAAACTTGAACAAAATGTTGTGATTTTGAAAGCCACCCAATGCACATAATACGATCTTTTGGATTTTAAGGTGGGGTGGTGCGCAATGCGAAAAGGTTTTCGAAAAACTGTATTGTATAAGATCAATACAAATTCATCATACACACATGCTATGAGGTGACTCATTTCAAGGAAGTGCATCCATTTAGGCTCTGGTGCTGGTCCACTAAGGCAAGGGAAAAAAAACTCATAAGTTGCATCATTATTTTCTTTTTTTCGTTAAAGTCGTGTAAATGATTCTTTATGAGTCCTCAAGTCATGGATAAGTTGATGGCGGACAAGTATACGATTATCTTTTCTTTTACCGAGTAAATCAAAAACAACTTGATAACCGCAATTACTGTCACCCTCAACATTGATGGTTCGCTTGATGTACTTGTGCATAAAAATTGACATCTCGTCAATGGATAAAATCTTTGGTGGAGGCGTCAAAGGAGGTGGTTTGCTAATGCAAGCTCCTTTGAAAATACTTTTTTTGAGATTTTGGAGTTGGTGAGTCTAGAAAAACTTTGTTAACATGTTCAAAGTATGAAGGAGACCGTGTCATTGAATTATCACTCGGTGTAGGCTTGAGCTTATCCATAACACCTTTTATTTTTACAGGTTGAGAGGGTGGTTTCAAGTTGGTGGTTTTCTAATAAGCAATCTTCCTCAATTGTTCTTTGATGTGAAGTTTCATATTGTCACTGGCTTTCAAAAATATCTCTTGTAAGACTTCTCATTTAGTCAAGATAGAGATAGTAGATTTACCGTCTTTCATGACACCATCATCATCAAACCTAAGCCTCTTCCAGTGAGTGCAAACCTCACCCATTCTTATCGTCTTACCAAGTTTAACCTTTTTTGTGATAACACAAGCACATGAGAGATCATATGTGTTCACAATTGTGCATCCATGCTTTACGCTATCGAAGCCTACATTATCAACTCATTTAGCTTCAGGAAAAATATAATTCAAATCAGCTTGAGATATGTCGTCGACCAACTGAGAATAAATATTGTTGCCTTTAAATTTGTGTTCCAAAATTGTGATGCTCAGACCAAATGATGTTTGTATCTCATTATGCTGGTTCTGAATCATTTGGTTCACGGAGTCCCAATCTCTACATAAACCTCCCAGACTATTTCCTAACCAATTCTTCAATGTAGCATGGGCAAACTCAACTCGGTTTATTGTTGTATTCCCAAGTTGCCTAACCTAATCAGTTCATGCAAAGACAATTTTCTCCTTCATCTGGTAAAGAATTGTGCTTTCGACATATTTTAACAAATCTAGATACTTCTCACACACCTTCCTGTAATAGAAATCACATAAGAAGTATGAAATACCTTTGCAACCGAATCATCAAAGTGGTATCGCGGTTGGAAACAATCACTATAGGCATCTCTTCTTGGTTCTTCAATATTCCCCGCCACACCTCTAAGGCCCAAGTAACATTCTCCTCTTTTTCGAAAATATAGCTCTTCTCAGTAGAGGTGACACCAACCATCTCCAATAACGGGAGTCTGTACTTATTGATCATGTACATTGAATCAATTATGAGAACAGTAAGAAATGGGTTGAACAACTTGATGAAATCAGGATGAGTCCAAAATATATCTCTAGTCAATGTTTTAAAAACCGGACCGGTCATTGAACCGGTGAGGGTACTGGGTCACTGGTTTATTGGTCGAACCACTGGGTCACTGGTCGAACCGCATGACTAAACCGGATTAAACCGGATAACTCGGTTGAATAGACCTGTCATTATATAGATATAAAACCGGTCGAACCGGATGATTCAGTTTCTAAAAATATATAACTAGTACTTAAAATTTTTGAAAATAAATTCACAAGTTCATAATTTAAACTCAAATTTAAATTCACAAGTTCATAAATAAATTCACAAGTTCATAACTTAAATTCAAATTTTAAACAAATGTATCACACATAACAAAATAATACAAAATAACTCCAAACTTAAGTTTAGTTCCAAGGAGGTAAAATTATTTCAATATTGGGATCTCCTTCTTCAATATCAAAACCATCTGCAGTAAAATCAATGGCATTTGCAACATTTTCCCCATCAATGATATTATTATTTTGGTTGTTTTCTCCAGAATTAAGTTGTTCATCATCCTCGAAATCAACCTCATCCAAATTTAATTGATCTGTAACAACAAATAAATTAGAGAGTTACACAATTAACATATAGTAATAAATTAAAGTAACAAAATTGTTATCAGAATAACTAATATCATACCAATATCATTTGACATAGGTTGAATTGTCATACTAGCAAGATCTTTGCGTAGTGCTTCCACCTCCTCAATGGTTAAGAATGGCGGTGAATCCTCCAACACCCAATCAGAATGATCACCAAGTATTTCAAAATTGATAGGATCATAATTTTGTTTCTATAAATCATTAACGATAATGTCAAACATAAAACTCATTAATATTCTTAAAAACTAGTAGTATATAACTAACTTAACTAGCTTAAAAATTAATAATATAAAATATATATTAACATTGTACTAAAATGCAACATATTAAGCAATAGCAACAATCAAAGCATATGTTCAAATTCCTAATTAAACGTTTCCAAATCAATCTCAGTACTAGTTTTTGAGATAGAAAAACAAATTGACAAGTTTCTACATATCAAGCAATAGCTAGTAGTATAAACAATATCATAAGCAAACAACATATAGTTGTTTCCAATTTTCATCATTCATAGTCATAAACAACATAAGTATATAAGCAATAGCATATAAAGCATAAATAGTGCAATACCTGTTTTGTAGTCGTAGGTTGTAACGAACAAAGACAAGATCATTAAGCTTTTGATGCTCCAACCTATTTCTTTTTTTTGAATGAATGTGCTCAAATACACTCCAATTTCGTTCACAACCAGATGCACTACAAGTTTGGCTTAAAATCTGAATAGCCAACTTTTGCAAATTGGGCGCTTCGGTTCCATAAGTTTCCCACCATTGATCTAGAATAGTGCATGTGAAAAAATTAGAAAACATTTTAAAATTCATATTGAAATTATAATAAAATGCATAAAGTTTATCATCTAATTTTACCTGGAAAAACTTCATCTCGATTTTCTACGGCCGTTGTCCTTCCAAAACTACCTTCACAATTTTTGAATAAACTCATCTCAACAGTTAATTTAGATCGCAGGTCCTTACTATCATAAGCATACTTTTCAATGACATCCAAAAGACCTTGGGTAGTAGACTTGTGTTTTTCATATTCTTGACTGAATCTACAAGATGGATTTAACCAATAACCAGCAGCATGAAGATTTTTGCGAAGTTGTGCATCCCAACGGTTATCTAAGATCCTCAAATAAGGCTCTACTTTCAGCTTATTTCTTCTAAACCTCTTCTCAATCTCCTCTCTTGCTTTATACATAGCTCGATAGAGATATCCCATAGCCGGTTTATCTGCACTATCAACAATACGCAACACACGTACAAGAGGTTCTGTAATTTTCACTATGTCAACACATGTAGACCAAAAGCTTGAGTCTAATACTTGTTCCACAAATTGCTTTGCCTTGACATCTTTGGAGTAAGTTGTAGTTGTCCACTCTTTGGAAGTTACCATGGCTCTTAGTGCATCTTTATGAGACAAAATACTTTGTAATGCAATAAAATTAGTAGCAAAGCGGGTTGGAGCAGGACGAAGTATTTCTCTTCCACCTGTATGTTGCCTCATCAAATACAATGCAAAACAATGATTATATATGTATTTGGTAATTTTTGAAGCATGTGACACTGCCGCACTTACTTCCTCTAATTTCCCCATGTCTTGCAACATCAAATTAATACAGTGTGCTGCACAAGGAGACCAATACAACTTAGGAAACTCCTTTTCCAACAACTTTCCAACAGCAACATAATTTGCAGCATTATCTGTAACGATTTGAACAACATTTTCTGGGCCAACATACAACACTACTTCCTTGAAAAGCTTAAACAATGTGTCTGCAGTTTTAGAAGCACCAGAGGCATCTACAGACTTTATGAAAACAGTTCCTTTGGGGCAATAAACTAAAAAGTTGATAAGAGTTCTTCTACAACGATCAGTCCACCCATCTGCCATAAGAGTACAACCTGTATCCTTCCAAATAGAACGATATTGCTCTACCTGTATCTTCACGTCATCAACCCACTTATTTAACAAATTACCACGAAGAGCATGCATAGTAGGAACTTTGTATCCAGCACCCATGCAACAAAGAGCATCAATTGCTGGTTGAAAATAAGGCGAATTTGCAGCATTAAAAGGAATAGACGCATCAATAAACCACTTCGCAATAGCAAGATCACACTTTTCTACCACTTCTTTACTTTGCATCACACTTTTTAAAGTAGGCTGAGCTCCCGGAGTTGTTCTGGGTAAGAAATAAGTACCAATGCGAGCATCATTCTTTTTAGATGCACCGATTCGTGGGTGCATTTGAATTTGCAATTCACCCCCCTCTGCAGAAAATGACTCACTTTCAGCCACATCTAGAGTTTTTCTTTTCTTGCTCCGCTCATTAAGACATTGATTCATCTGAAAACGGATTTCTGTAGGAACTGACTTACAAATTTCAACATTTCCTATTACTCCAGCCAAGTGTTGTTTTACCCTATGAATTCCACCTCCACCAAACGCTTTGTGACAGTAGATACAAACAAGAGTTTTTCCATCAGGACTTTTAGTACAATGTGCCCAAGCTATATCAGTCTTTTGTCTAACATTATGTTGAACTAAATTAGGAGTTGAAGAAGCTTCTTGTGATGGTGCTTGTGATGATGGTGTTTCAGAAGATGTCATTTTCCTGTAAAACATCGTTATGAAATATCGTTATGAAAAATGCTCATTCTTAAAAACAATAATAATCATTTGAATATTTGTTAGAAGAAAATTGAATATTGTGTTTGTCTTAGAGCAGGAAAATAAAAAATTGAAATGTGTATTACATAGAATCAACTTCCAATTGATATGGGAGTATATCATACAGAATCATCAATTTAATAGTACACTGTAAAATACTTGGTCAGTTACGAAACAACATAAGCATTGCTGTAGTCAATAGTTTTCTGCATTTGGTCAAGCAGTTGGGGGGCATTGCTAATGGTTATAACTAGTACATATTTGATATTTATTATATTTATTTAATTCATTAGAACATTGAATCTAAATCAAATGACTAATATTCTTGATCTGCATTGTTTTGTTGACTGCAATCAAACAAAATAAAATGACTAATAAAATGTTGTCTTGTTAAAAAATTGTAAAAATAAAAACTGCAATCAAACATGACTAATATTCTCAGCATTTACTTGACAAAATAAAATGTTGTCTTGTTAAAAAATTGTAAATGGCTACACAATTTCTTTAACTTATTTTCTCAGCATAATTTTAAATTTTTTGGTCTTCTCCACAACTTGCTTCTTTTATATAAGGCATTGGCCATTATTCTTTAACAAAACTTCCATTAATATATCTGGCGTGTATGTGAAGTGTACTCATAATTACAATATAATTACAACAATATGTATTACAGCAAGAACAGTTACACCAGCAAGAACAGTTACACCAAGAACAGTTACACCAGCAAAATGAAGTGCCAATTACACCAAAAATATGCAGTGCCAATTATATATAATTTTACCATTAAATAAGAAACTTATGAAAATTATATATAATTTTACCATTAAATAAGAAACTTAGCAGAAGTCAACAAGTGGAAATCCAATTTCAGTATATACTCTTCTAAGCATAATGGCACCATAATGTAAGAAAAGTAAGTAATATAACTATTCTTAGATATGGCATACTCTTCTAAGCATAAAATAAAGCACACACTTCTCTTTTGATCCTTTTTAGTATGCTGAAACCAATCCATTGCACTTATTCCCCCTCCTCCTTTGACTATTTTTAATCCACCAACTTAGACAACCAACATAAGACTTAAATTAATTCCAGAGCTCACATTCTCTTTGTAGTCAAAATATCAGTGGAGTGCGACAGATGCTTTTTTCTATACATATGTTTCTATGTTGTGCCAAACCTATCGGTTTGATGCGAAACGTTTACTTACTCCGACAATAGCAAAAAAGTCAGTTCCGTGACAGTGCTCATCATGACAGTGTTAATTAGCATCATAGTAATTTCCATATTAAGCCCTTTTGATAACAATGCTAACTTAATTCAAACTAATTTCATTCACTATAACCTTACAATTTATTCATATAATCAAGTCCAAATTTGAACAACAGTGCTAACTTCAAACTATACAGAAATTACAAGTCCAACTGAACTCATAAAGAAAATCAACTAACTGAGTTAGTTTCATATTCACCATTCAAGCTCTAACTGAATCCCTCAGATCTAAGAGTTCATCCTGACAATCCAATTATGAAAAATATAGTTTTCAATCCAGAGAATCATTAAGCTAAACTCAACCCAATATCCTTAAACATACACAATTTAAACTTTAAAGTTAAGCACAATTTTTGATACCAAAATTCATAGAGACATTTCATCAAACACATGGGCATATAATGTAAAACTCTTTCTGGGTTCATACGAAATCAAATCAACAGAACAATTTCATCAGAAGATTAATATCAAACATATAGAGGATCATTGAACCCTAATTTAATCTTCAACAAGTTAATGAAAAGAGAGAGGAACATTGAACCCTAATTTCAACGGAACAAAGTTAAATGAAAACAGAGAGGAGCATTGAACCTGGAAATGGAGACTGGAGAGTCGTTGGTATATTGCGGCGGAGGAACGAACTTGCGCGGTGGTGGAGAAAGAAAGATGAAACGGAGGCTCGGTCGTGGAGAAAGAGAAAGACTGGAAATTTTGTTTTTTTAATTTTTATAACTTTTGAATATAAATTTTAATTAAAAAATAAAAATACATTATAACCGGTCCAACCATCAAACCGCGTTTTACCGGTCCAACCCGGTTTTCTCCGGTTTTTACCGGGTTGATGACATATCCGATCCAACTAGTAACTCAAACCGGGTACTAGACCGGTTCCCGGTCGGACCGGTTGGACCGGCCGGTCCGGTCCGGTTTTTAAAACATTGTCTCTAGTGGTTACTCTATTCTCACACGTCCGGTAATTAGACACGTAATTGTTATCATCCAACAATTTCAAGAGTTATTACATTTTAGTTTTATCCTCCCTCACCGCCTTGTTAGTTTGGTATCGAATATTGTACATTTTATTGATATTTGAAATATTGTCGGGTCTTTTACGTTTTAAAGT